ATAAAAATTTTACAGTTTCCAATTTGTATCTTGATTGTTATAATTCATATGCGTTGGTATTCAGTTCATTGCTACATTACATTTCCTAAAAGCTGCCGTTTCATTGAAAGCTGAGATTTTTATGATCATTTGTCAATGTTACAATAATATTACCATAGCGAAGAAGCATGACAGCCTCGAACTCTTTGGCATTGCCGGAAGAAAATGATCTTCCGTATAATCCTGGAAGGATTCATAGGTCAGATAAAGTGAAACGTGCTTTCACTTGAAGCAGCAATCGAGAGAATTAATGCGACACGATCTTTCGGAACAAAATGAAAGCTTAATAAAATTAAAGGCAATAATAGATCTCTCTTTTTCTAGAATCGCGACTTTTTTCACTCGTTAATTGTGATGTGCTTGTAAAATACGTCTCAAGTTACTGCGAGCGTGGCTTATCTTTTTCCACTTATACACTAAGAAAAGTGTATTAAATTTTAATAAATACTTTTATTAAAATTTAAGTATTAAATTTGTTGAAATAATTTTCAGTAAATATTTATTAAACATATATTTTTGTAAACATATATTTTTTTATTACATTAAGAATTATTAATTTGATTTAACCATAAATTTTTTTATCGAGTAAATATTTATTTAGTGTTTTTTTTAGTTATTATTAATATTTAAAGAAATATACATTAAGATTTAATAAATTTTTTTCAGTGCATTATTAAATTGCGCAATTGAAACAAACTATGTCTTGATAACGAAAGTCTCTACAAGATTATAGTATACGTACATCAATAAAAGAAAAAATTATTTAAATATTATATAAAATAAATGATGGAGAATTATTTTATTAAAAGAATTATTAAACAGCTAACGAACTACCTTGAGCTTATCGCATCATCCTGTTTACGATTTTCCAAATATATGTTAATGATATACGTAATATTCAGGAAACGAATAGGCTGATTAAGAATTTTCACTTCCGTTGATATAACGGCTTCGGTCGGATCTTGCATTTTATAATTTACATACAACCAGTATTGAAGTGAAATCGTCGGACGCAGACGTATCGATTAGCAGAATTTGCGCGATTATTGCATGATGCAAATATGATTCTATGCAGATCAAAAGAAATGTTGCGAAACTTCTGTTGGAAGCGTGTCGGCTTTAGGGACCCTGATCGAGAGGTTGATTTGAGGGACAAAGGCCGAATCTTTTGAATGTGATGAGCGAGAGATTTTAGTATCACACACGAAGACTTTCACCGGCCATTTCGAAAAAGTCAAGTGTCGATTTGTTACTAGCTGCAAGCAATTAAAACGCCATTTACGCAATGTTACGAGCACAGGTCCGCATCTCGGCTGCATGATATGCTATATACTATTAGTGAATTTCACGAACCATTAAAACAGCTATTATGCTATTTTCTCATATGACTCGTTGAATCGTTAAAGGAATGTAAAGTAGAGTTATAGAGAAAATAAGGTGGACAAATAGGAGAACAGAATACTGAGTTTAAGCGAATTATGTAAACTTGTCCATTCATAATAACGCCAGGGAGATGTTTGACCTGTTGGTTATATTTTAGAGATGACAAAGACAGAGCCAGGAAACGAAAAAGAGTAGACAATCTTGAAGAAATCGTGTTCTAATGTCGTAAAACGCCTCGTTGAAAGTGTCTCGGATTATGCAAATTATTAGTTTCTCGACAGGCTTTTTATGAGAACGAGTAAAATTCTGAAGATCGATGTTTTCGCGAAATTGATCTCCTGCGCAATATAGAGTTCGAGTCGCTTACAGGGATCGCCAAATTATTGTCTCGGTTACGATTAATGGCCATGTCAACAATGTGAAAGGGATGCAAGTACAAACTATGAACATGGCTTCCTAGTAAAAATAAATTGTTAATGACATCGTTTAAAGCAATCACGTAATTCATCGTATATCCGGGATGGATATATTTAATGCTTATCGATTCGTCATAAAGCCTGCCTATATAATCTCACTATATAATCATGCTTCATACAGGTTTGGTCTAATTTTTTCTCCATTAGCTATACGTGTACGTTGCTTAATCAAGTATTACAAGGGGTCAAGTATTGTAGAAAAAAAAGTTGCCGATACTGGCATAGGTTTCCTAAATAAATATTCTCTTAGTTCTCAGTTCTCAGAAACTATTGCATTTTATAAACAATAATAAAGAAACATAATTTGTTTAAATGATTAGAAAAGTAAAAACTCATAATTCATATATTATATTTATGACTTGTTTCTGTACAAAATCAGCAAAAAACGAATTCTACAAATGCGAAAAAAATTCTTACAATTTTCTTTTGTGTAGTTTAAATAATAGTAGCTATATTATTCATAATATTGCAGCGTTTTATATGTTTGTAGTTCCCTAAATCAGTTTTATTTATACATTTTTTCTCTTCTTTTATTCATATAATACGGTTATAAATATAAAATCAGGGTTCAACGTAAATTGACGTATGTCTGTAAGATAGACCATGAGCTAACTTAATCTTTATAGTGCTGCGTTATAGTAATCAAATATCGGAACTGGAATTGTGTACTTATGGCAAAAAACAAAACTGTTGCGTAACATGATTGCAGAACAACATAAAGTATACATATAAATCAACAAAAAAAGGTTTTATATCAAAGTAAAAAAATTCTAGAAAATCTTATATATGTTCACTTGTGTGTAGGTATTTTTACAGATGACTCCCGTGAAGGAAAAAGAATAGGAATACGTGATATTACTATTTACTGTTTTGGGATCAATTTTGTCAGACGCTCATTTTTACTCATCTTGTATACGAAAAAGTTAATTGTTGTAAAATTGTAAACAGAATTATAAATAAAAACTATATTATTTAATGATAGAAGACACTTTCTAGTTTTATTTATGTTTCTAAAATTTTATTTTTAATTTTTGATTAAAAAATATTGTTCAAAAACGAAAGTATGTCGGTATCGACGACTTTTCTGTATACACAGATTTCACCTATTTTTTAAATGTTTAGTACTTATTCCGTCCCCCCCCCTCCCCTAATTCATGAGCAAGTAGCACAACGCAATATTCAAGTATTCGCGAGAAATTGTATCGAAAGTTACTCGTATCTTTTCTTTATGCTTATTTCTACAATATGTGAGATTAATACTCGTTAATACACGTTTTATCAGTGTGTAGATTAATTCTAATCGGTTCAACTTACTCTTCATCTTTTTCTAATCTTTAGAACTAAAAACAGATAAAGAGTAAGCTACCCAGATAGCACAAAAAGAATTCAGTAGTGTGTCAATTCTGAGTTCATTTTTAGATGCAAAAAAATTCTTTTCAGAATTATTTAGAAAAAGAATTCTTTTTGTGTCCGAATTCTAAATTAATGACATAACAACTGAATTCTTTTTAAATGCTTTTTGAACTCTCTGTGCTATCTGATATATCTACTCCTTGGCCCTTCCTTTGTTAGTCCTGCAAGATATCATAAAATTGAGATATTGCGATATTAAAATTCAAGATTGCAAGATGCTCCTTTTTGTCCCTTTCTTTCGGATATCCAGCTCTTGTGCATATGATCCAGACATGCGTAGATCCTGATATGCGATAGATCCGAGTAATGCGTAAATACCGCTCGTATTTGCAAGCAATAAGTTTTTTAAGTGCTCTTTTATATGCTTTTATAGATACCTTGTATATGCTCCGAATGAAATAAATACAGAGTCTCTTTCCGCATAAAAGAGCTGCGATTTCCTTCTCAATGAATATAAAATATTACGAGTACATCGTCGCAGTGTTTTCTAATTGAATACATTTTAAATTCAGTTAAAACGAAATCAAATCTAAAATTTTTGTATTGATAATAATTACTAACAATAGTAAAAAATAGTTGCAAAAAATTTTGATTGAATAATAATAATTTATAATCGATGTTCTTACAATATTCTATCGTCAAAAGTACAAGCGATGATGTATTCATGCTTTTTGCGCAGAATTACTCACAGTTTATCCATAAGATTGTTTACAGGAAATAATAATTTAAATGAAGCAAAAATGAAAGTTTAAACAATGACGTAATACCTGTCCTTGCGCGACTAGATTATCCTGTAATTATTACATAGAAGGTAGTATACCCACATAATTTTAATTGTAATGAGTTTGTTGTTGCAAAATGACTACTAAGATTTATCAAAGAGGTCATGAGCCGATTCTATGGCCATGACATTTGCGTTGAACAAAGTCTTTCCAAAGAGAAATTATATATAAGAAAAATCAAGGAATAATATTAATAACGTTTATAGTTATATCGAACAGAAATACGATTCATCATGAAAGTAATCCTTTAAGAAACAATAAAGTAATAAATTGCAGGCAAAATGTGTAATTTAAAATTTCTTTATTGGCTGCCGCAAGGCTTGTCTTCGCGTGAATGACACATAAGGAGAGTTCGTAGATGGAGGTGCAGCGTAAGAAGGTCTGGACGACGGTGGATAAGGCGAATCTGTGGGTGGACCATATGTGGGTTTTTCCGGTTCCTCTGACGACTGTGAAGAACTGGCTGACAGACCAGTGCTAGAGCTCGATGATGTGCCGGACAGATTTGCGCTGGAAGTCGCCGACGTAGCCGATAATTTCAAGAAAGCGCCGAGGACTTCCTTCAGCGGTCCGGTTAGATCGCTACCACTCGGAGCTTCCTGTAAAGCCGATTGAGAAATCTCAAATATCTGAGAGGAAAATTGGGGAAAAGCTATTTTTTTTACACAACAACAATAAAAATAAAATAGGAAACACTATTTTTAATCTTAATTCAAATTTTTTTCACAATTATTCAACGAGTGCAAATTAAATTCATAATTATCTTAAATCCAAAATTGTGAACGTATGTGTATGTAAGAGGAAAATTGCTTACGGGTTTGCCGTAAGAATTATAACCGCCATAAGTTGTGGATGCGTGGGACGTGTCTCTGTTACCACTGTAACCATTCTGACGATTTCCAGTGTTACCATATTGACCATATTGATTTTGACCATAGCCACTTTTGTGACCTTTGGAACCTGCGCTAGCACCAGCGAGCACGCCTGATACAATCGAACTTACTAGAGATTTCACATCCGATTCACTTGCTGAAGCGGCGCTTTCCTGAAATTTAAAAATAATAAAAAAAGCGTTAATTTAGTTTTGTAAAATAGAATAAATAAGAAAAAGAAGAAATTAATCAAGATTACTTTAATAACTTTACTCTTAATTACTTTACTCTTAAGCTTTATCAAATTTTTGTGTTATTATTACCATTATTCCTTTTATGTATATTATCTATATTCATTTTGTTAGCTTATTATGTACTTTCATTTTAAAATATAATCTTTAACTTGCAAACTGTAATTAGTTTTTAGCTTTTAGTTTTTAATCTGAATCTAAAAACTAATTTCAAGGCAGCATTATTGCAAATATATACTTCGTCCATTTTGCATTGTTTCTACAGCGTTATATGTATTGTGTCTTATACTTTTGCTGTGTTCACATTCTTTTTAATTAATGCACATTAATAAAGTTATTAATATTACTATTATCATTAATAAAGATTGTTAAATAATTGTATAGAGGATAGTTCCATGATGCGTACTTTACTTAGCTTAGCGGTAATACCGGCGATAAAGCTCGATAACACTGATTGTCCATATGGCCCTTGTGGCTAAAATCAATGCATGAATAGATAATACAAAGCATTAAGGCGATAATAAAACAATAATACAAAATTACAATTGCAGTATAAATATACGTACATAAAAATTAAAAAGACTTACCTTGCTTAAAGGTTCACCCGATGCCGCAAATACGGACGCTGATCCCTGTACGCCTTCAGGCTGAAAATCAAATTAATATTAAAAAATGTTATGTATTAATAGCATTAGACTAATCGAAAATAAACTTGTATAGCAATATTAAAGAAACAAATAACATTTCATTAAAACAAGAGCATGACGTTTGTTTCATTAGTATACTGTTATTGAATTAACAAAATTATTTCCAATTAAACTGCTGTTAATACAACATCATTTCTTTCCATATACTCGTACTATTCGTTTATATCTACTTTTATATTCGCATAATCATACAATTCTTCTTTCTATTCATGATCTACATATCTACATAGTTAGAAAGTTTGTTTATAGTTCTACATACTTAGAGAATTCATGTTAAATTTAATACATTTCACGTGTCCTAAATTTTTTTCACTATTCACCTGAATTTTTGTGCTAATTTAACGCAAAATAAATATAACATAAAATAACACAAACGTTATGTAAAAATTAACACAAAACACTTTGACACAAGTTGAAAACAAATTATGTGGAATTCTTTCAATAAAATTAACATTTATAATATGTTAAATTAATACTATATTTACTTTCTATTCATTTATTCAGAATGTTATGTTATAAAACTATACTATTTTATGTATTATAATTTGTTCACTTAATAAATCATAAATTGTATTAGAGAGAGAGAGAGAGAGAGAGAGAGAGAGAGAGAGAGAGAGAGAGAGAGAGTTTAATACTAAGAAATGTTAAATATCAATTCAATACAAAATATTTAAATAATTAAATATTTAAATAATAAAAAATCATATTATATATTATATAAATTTACACTTTACATGTTAAAAATTCAACAAAAAAATTTTAACAAGGACCAGTTTTAATAAAAATACAGAATGTTTTTTACTGTGTACAATTTTATAAGTAAAATTCTTACGCCACTACTGCTACGACTCAGCGGACCGATCAGGGGGCCTGAAAGAGGTCCGCTCAACGGCGCTATCAGCTGTATAATAGGTCCTAAAATAGCTCCAGAATCGCTGCCTTGTCCTTCTGGGCCCTGAAGAGATTGTTTTGACGTTTACTGTATAAATTTTGGAAAGTATTACTCGACAAATTTACCTCACTGAGCTTTTGAGAGAGTGGCAGTAGGACTGCTGGAATATCGACTCCGTCCTCCTCCTCTGGCTAGAAGACAAAGCATATTTTATCATTATATAACTAAATCTCTAAGAATAATTTAGAAAGAGCAGAGAAAAGTATTTTAATCTTACATCAGAGAGTCCTTCGAGAAGAGGAATTGCACCTTGAAGCACCTCTGCTATATCAACATCCGACTCCGGCTAAAAATAATCATTGTTTTTCATGCTGATTTTATCTCTAATATTGATACCATAAAATGTTGTGCAATCAGAATATAGAACACAAATATGAAAAAGCTATAAATGTTTCAGCTATACACTTGTCAATGTGTACAAGTTTGTGTTTTCTTACATCACTAAGTTCTTCGAGAATCGGCGCAGCTAATGGTAATAATTCGATCAGAGCTTGTATAGATCCACCCTTTTCTTCTTCATCTTCATCTTCCTCCTGTGCTTCTGTTTGAGGTCCATTATCATCATCATCGTTATTTTCAATATCGTCGTTCTCATTATCACCGTTTCCGTTATCGCCGTTTCCATTAGCGCCGTTCCCATTATCGTCGTTCTCATCATCGTCTTCCTATGTGACACTTTACATTATAATAATTATAGAAAGCGTGTTTTTGTAATAAATAAAAAATTATGAACTGCATACGCTCAGTTGCTGCGCTTGAAATGTTTCATTGGGTCTCCCACGATTAGGCGGCGTCTAATAAATAAACAATTACATTTAATTATAAGGCTTTTTAAGGCTTCCACGGGTATTTCCTTCAAGGAAGTTATGCAGTTTACGGGTTATCCCCACGTCTTGATACGTCGTTAAATATCAATGTTTCGTGAACATTGCAGTTTACTTCATCCGGACGAGATGTTACTTGATATAATATCAAGTTGTTTTTCGCCATGATAAATTGAACTACAATATCCACGAAACGTTGGTATTTAATAAGACACGGAGATAACCCATAAATCGCGTAACTTATTTGAAATACATTTAGGTAATTAATTAGCGACGTTCTTCGCAAATAAATATTGTTACATCAATTATTTTGTAAGCGTGTGATAGGCGAGATATAAATGTAATTATTCATAATACTGTTGGTATTATAAGTGCAAAAAAGTCACAATCATTAATTTAGCACGTGAGTATTGCATTCTTATTGACATGCAAAGGCCGTTCCATCCATTTCGTCATTAAATCTATCTAAGATAGATTGAACAAGAGAGAATTCATCATTGGCCCCCATTTGTGTAATGGGTCACCAACGTGACACTTTTATACATATTTATGAGTTAGAACGTGTCGTCACAGGTTGACAATATTGCGGTCAATGAAATTATTGATTGTAAATTTCAAATTTCACAATTTTTATTTATGGTAGTCGTCGTTCTCTTCTCTCTACTTATATCTTTTTAATATTAAGTGCATTTACTGTAATTTCAAATTTTTATTTTTACAATTATCGTTTTGTCTATGTATAATATTTCTATTTTTTCCGTGTAAAGCAATTATCTAAATTGTATGTTAACGTAAAATATAAAAAAATCTTTAAGTATAAGAGAAAAGTATAAATAATAAAATTAAAAGTATTATCTTAAAATTAAAATTGCAAATAAATAATGTAAGAATTGTTTGTAATTGTCTCTTAAATGAAGACAAAAAGCAAATCTTTTATCATTGCGACAACTATAATTTTTTATAATCATTATGTAACTACTACTTTTTTTAATTCAGCGACATATAGTTCTTTTTTTTAAATACAATAAATTTATTTCACAGAGCATCTTTTATGTAATATTCGCCTAATAAGAGCATAAGTTGTTTAAATTAATATTAGATTTATGTGCATTCAAAATTATGTTACTTGCGATTATCTACTCACCTCCTCGAAGGCTACTTGTATCTTCTGTGTGTTTGTTCCTTTCAAAATAGAAAGTACAGGCTTCGCGATGTTAATCTCAGTGCTATTTTTCGGCAGTTTCCTCAGAATACCAAACATCCTCAGCAAATCCCCGAGTATTACCGATTGTCGCTTTATAGACGATTTCTGCTTCTTCGTACTTTTCATTTTCTTCTGGTTTTGCTTTTTTTGCTCATTCATATTCTGCTGTTTCTGTTCTTCTTTCTGTTTCCCCTTTTTTACTTTTCCTTCTGTTTTTGTTTCACTCGTTTCTGTGACGAAATCATTGAAGACGACGTTTACTCGTTCGGAATTATTCGTAAGTGTATAGTCATTTTCGAAGTATGGCAGAAACTCATTCGGAAAATCTCTAACTGCGGTGTAATCTTTCGGTTCTATCTTCGGAATCATAGTAGCTAGCGGAAGTTCTTTAGCGATTGTAATTACTGCTTGGAATGGAAAAGTCAACAGAGGTTCACCTATATTATGCGACAAATTCAACCTAGTTAACCCATTATTCACGGCAGTCGGTAATGTCTGCTGTAGCTCATTATTGTGGATGTGAAGATTCAAGGAATTCCTCGTAGTCTGAAGCTTCAACGGTTCCTCGAAGTCAGAAACATTTTTATCGATAACGTTCTGATATGATTGAGCGATATTGATTGGGGATAATGGAAGATACGTGTTGGCGGGCGGCTGCAAGAAAGCATTAAAATTTCCGAAGGTATCAATTTCACTTTGCTGAAAAGGATTCCCGATGTTGAAATCCATGTATTGTCCAAAATCAGTTGGTCCATTGATATTCGAAGTAGAAAGACTAGACGGGTCCTGTGAATCGGACGATGTCGTTTGCATCGCTCCCATGGGCAAAGGATAAGCGACCACTTTATCATCCGGTCTTTGAACAGGAGGCTCCTTAAGTCTTCGCGCCGGATAGTTCAGGCCCTGTCGTTTCTCATTGAGAGATGCCTTCTTCATTATCTCCTTTGATTTCGAGCCCGAATTGCTCGTAAAGGGAAACCGTTTCTCGATTGATGGCGAATTCTTGAAGATAGATGGTAAATTTATCTTTGACGTCATTAAACTCATTACGTATTTAGACCAAGCTACTAAATCTTCTTTCGAAGTGATTTTAAGCGGCAGCTGGATCTCCAAGATTTTTGGGGAAGCCGAGAAACCTTGTTCATTTTGGAACGGCGAGTTTCTTTGAGATTTCAAAGGCGCCGAGGATGCAAGGTTAAATATTATCAAAATCAGGATGCAGTTCGAACGAGACAGTATCCTCGATAACATGAGGAACATCTTGAAAATCAATATTTCTACTTCGAAAGTTATTATTTCGTTCGAAAGGCTTTAAAGACTTAAATACAATTGGCAGATGATTGTGATATCATGATTTTCGATAGAAGTTAACGTCACATTTTCTTTCTTATATTTCTTGAATTCTTGACAAATTTTATCGATTCGTCTGACAAACTTGATAATACAAACTTTGAAATAACGTGACTAAATTATTAAAAAAAAATAAGTAAAGAAGAAATTTTTTGTCGGAATTAATTGTTAATCCTGGTTACTCTTCTTTTGCATTATTCGAGTACCTCGATGTGCGAAGTGATGTTGAGGAATCTACAGCGAGAAGGCAGCTATAGTCGAGGATGTTTAACGGTTAAATACAATTGAATTAAGTTATGTAGTTTCAATATAATAGAGCACTTGTACTCTTGATCTCACACTTCACTCACTATCACGAACAATTACTTATTATTTACAAATAACAATTTACATGTCAGATTAATTAATATAAACTATCATTCGATTTTACTGAAAAAAAGCTAGACGCGTGTCATTCTTGAAAGAAAGAGCTCATAGGACACGAGAATCGTACTTGAGGAACTGGACAGTTGAATAGGAAAATGGTTGCTTTATAGGCTGGGCCTAATCAGAGGTCTGTTTTTTCCCTGGTCGCGGAAGCATGCACTTTTTTCCATGCACCATCAGGATATCGGCTCCGCTAATCATAGTACGTCGAATCGGGGGCGGTCACGCTTACTTCCGTCGTTACGTTTCTACCGACGAGGTCTTCCTCTCTCCAGCATTTGAATAATTACGCGCACTGGCGAGCGAGTATGTAATGCGAAACGTATGTGATGACAGGCCAGAGTGACTTTCGTAAGGGATGCGAAGTGCTTAATCTTGTAAGAACGCGTAGCAATTTTGTAACGTAGTAAATGGCGAAATTGCTTATTTGGAGTAGATGGACATTACGTTAGATGACAACATAGATGATGAATGACCGCACATTGGATTGATTATCGCGTGATTAAACGATTGAGCGTTGAAACGAGTTTATGAGTTCACCGTTTATGCATCCTTTTCTTCCGGGTGCAGCAACCTCATCAATATCGAATGTTATTTCATAATACTTAGCTTTATTAAACCAATTGTTAAACTAGACATAACTTCAGACTAGTCATTTACTAATTTGTATCGTTAGCAATTGTATTATGCACTGAGAGAAAAGCTTCTGGTACTTGTGGCTTTAACTGCATGATAAAATAATCATAATTAAAAGCTCCATTTTTATAGTTATTACTGCTATAATATGTTGGTAATAATAATAGTTATAGTTCTATGTATTCTTTAGTATATTTAAACTATAAAAATAATTATTATTACTAACATTATAGCAGTAATAACTATAAAAATGGAGCTACTAACAGTATTTTTTTACATTATAGTAGTCACAAATATCAAATTTGTTTTGATTTATTAATTTTATTAACCTTAACTTAAAGACTCGAGTTTAAATCTCACACGCAATTAAATTTTTTCTATAATGATAATTATGTTTCATGATAAGAATAACTATTAATATAAAAAATTAATTATTTTTATTAGATTTTTATTACGGATTACTAACTTTACAAATTTTAATATATAAACGTTTTGATAAAAATAAATAAAACATAAATATTTAAAATATCATGAACTAGAGCATAATAAAGTCTAATGAACTGCCGCTACTAAATTTAATATCAAAATAGGTACATATATATATATATATTATATATATCGGAAACAGTTAACCGTCTACGCCCAAATAGGGGTATAATTATATTCAAGAGAACACACTCTATAATACTATCAAATTTTATGGAAATCAGTGAGGAACACTTCCATTGTCAGTGTGTGTTGTAATAAGAATTTGTTAAAGCAGTTTTCTTATATAAACATAGCAGTTTTATTATAAATGAAAGATAACTTAATTTTTGAAGAAAAATGTAATCTTAAGATCCACATTTGTTTTCGATTTTATGGGAAAAACCACATCTCTCAATTTTTCTTTACCTCTTTACGAAGCAGAATCAATTAAAATAAAACTGTAACAGTAATATATTCAGAAGTATATCTTGGAAGTATATCACGACCGTGAACGTGATCTTGGGTTCTAACTGGTAACAATAAGAACGAGTCTCTATAATGAGCGATGGCATCCCATTTCTTATAAGCACAAAGCAAGGACGCGTTTACACCCGCTCACGCTAATGACGGCTCTCACGACCGAGTCAAGTTGAAAGTGGCTGATTTAACTTAGGGTATACAAGGTAGAAAGTCAGTAAAAACCCAAATCACAGAATCTACTTTACGAGCTCTCTTTAAACAATTTACGTTATATAGTTAGTTAAAATATTTCATAACAGTCGCTGTCAAATCATTACTTACTGATCAGTCTTAATATATTTCATTTAAATTTTGATTCGAGGATGTATTATATAGATTTTAATTCATTTAAATGATAAATTGTTATTTATAAGTATGAACATCAGAATAATAAGCGCTCACATAAAAATAAAATATTTTGAAAATATCAAAATTGAATTTATAATCATTTATAAACATTTTCATAAAAAAATTTGATTGTTTAAGAAATAAATTAATGAGTAAAATATTTAAAGTTAGTCACGATACTTTGACTTGTAGAAATTATTTGTGAAATATGAGAATACGATATGCAATAAAAAAGCGAATTTAAAATGTCAATTCGAGATATTTCTTTAGCAATGAGAAGGTCATCCGGTTACATTCGGTAACCTTTCACTTTTTCGAAGAAGAAAGGTTTATATAAAGCTTCCAAGTATCACAATCTGTAATTGGATCATAATTGTACTCGACACGTAAAAAAAAGTACACAAAGAGGTCCATTATTTGGGATAAACACTATTGTAAGGATTATAATACTCGTATATACGTCTATAGTATTAAGAAAAATAGTATACAAATGCCATAAATTGTTTTTTAAAGAAATGGATTTATTTTATTAAAATAAAAAGCGGTATGAAATATATACATGTTTTATTGAATTGATCTATTATAATACAGAAATAATCATAATTAAAAATGTCCATTTTCTGATGAACTTAAAATAATAAGTTTCTTTAAATATAAATGGGCCTTCAAACTCTTGCAGCACACAGAGTCTTGATGCTTTACCAAATCAATTCTAAGAACCTTGATATTTAAAGTTGAGGACCTATTTTATATTTTAGTTAAAAAGACTTGTTTTAAATATCAACAAAATATATATTAAATTTCTAAAGATTAATTTAATGAAAGCAGCATCAATATACTAATTGAAGTTTCGCCTTTCGCCCGACCGTTTAAAAAAATTTGTGAAAGCAGAAGTGGACATTTCTAAATTATAATTATTTTTATTTTGTAGTTATATATATGTGGGCAATTCAATAAAACGAGTATACATTTTTGTATACATTAACTTCTTATTTTAGTTATAAAACAAATTTCTTAGAAACTGAATTTATAACTTGTAGAGTATCCCCTTGAGGTCGCATATAAATGGAAAATCCTTTGACATTAACACGGAACCGCTAAATGGCAGAATATTTTTTTGTGTGTACATGTCTATTACATGTAGATTCTTTTTAATTAAAAAAAAATTATTATCTTATTTTTAGAAGATTGCATTAATTATCTGCGAATTATGAAATTTGTATTTTTAGCAAAACATTTCCTAGCAATATTTAATTAACTGTATGAACTAATAGCAGGACTCGAAGTTGTTCAATCGAGCGCGATAAAATCGACGCGGAAAAAAGAACACACGAGATCGATGGACTTTCCATTGCACAAATGCACGATCAGTGTGCACTGTGCTGTCGAACGCGCGATTCGCAATATCGTGTTCGCAATGTGTTCTTCCGCCCAGTTCTGGTAAAACTACAACAATTTTTACAATTTTAGAAAGAGAAACAAAGATATTTGTCTGAACACAATTGTACAAATAATTAGAAAAAGGTTATAAGAGTAATTAAAATATGAAATATGAATAAAACATATGTATTAAAAAATTGTAAATGAGTGAAGATGATTTCATAATCGCTTTTTAATATTAAATTATATAATTTTTCAATTGGGAAGTATAAAAATAATTTATTAACTAAGTTTGTTAATTTAAAATTTAGTTTATTAACTTAAAGTTCAGATTTTCTTAACTTATTTATCAATAGTTCACTATTGATAAGTAAGTTAAGAAAATTCACAATAAATGACTACAGACGTAAAATAGTTTCATAGTTGTGTTTTATTTGGTATGTTTACTTTTATTTAAAGCATTAATATTTATGCAAATCAACGTAGACATTAATGCTTTGAAAAAAATGGAACATGAAACAAAAAGACCATTTTTATGCGCTACATTTTGCTTCTACTGTCATTTATTAGTGACGAACTATTGGTAAATAAGTTAAGAAAAAATAAACTTATTAGAGAACGATAGAAGTAAATCGCCACACTCGGAGAGGAAGTGAGATCAGTTAACGATAAATTAAAAACTGGTTTCTCTATAAAGTCTACGTAAATTTATCATCGCTATATAGTTTTCGCCAATCACCATCTACCATTCATTCTCTAGCAATCGCTGCGACTAACATGATCTATTCAGTCTAGACTGCAAGCAGACTGTTCTTAGCTTCTAACCAATATGCATCGGTTGCCTCTTCGAAGAACTCCACCATGTCGCCTGCCTAGAACATCGCTTAAAAAAGATCCTTAAATTTGCCAAAAAATCTAACAGCGATTTAATTTAACAAAACGTTTATCGCAGAGATCAGAAGTAAGGTTTGTATAACACTTGGACAAAGTAATTGGCTTCTTTTAGCGTAACATTTTACGGGTGTATCGAGGGGACCAAGTAAAAACGAAAAATATTGCAAGTACGTTAAAATTTATCAGACAGCAATTAAAATTTAAATTAGTATTGATGTAGATAAAGGTGTCTCCGTCTG